AATGTTGCCGTTGGTCTGTTGAATTGGCTTTTTGTGAGGCACTCGCATTTGGAAAACGTAGTGAAAAGGTTACTTTAGTACACAGGCGAAGGCTGGTTGTACAGTTTGACAATAAATCATAATGCAATAAAACGTGAAGGTGTCATTTAAAATGAAAATGTTGAGTGTTACCAACAAATTACAAACGGTCTGAATCATGGAGGAAGGTCATAATTAAGTTTCAGTATTGGACTCTTCAACAAACGTAAGCTTGAACTTCTTACAATTTGCAAGACCGTCTGCGATTCAACTTTTATTCAAGTTGGTTCAACCATCTATATTATCTATATATAAGAGAGAGTTTAACTCGGCCTCCCAGACGATGTTAGTTGCTTCTGAAAGGATCCGAGACCGCGGCTTCACGTCCGTGGAAAAATGTGGGTGTCTTCCGCCGGGTCGGACACTTTTTCGTCAATTTTTTTGTGACTTCGTTTAAGATAGCGATATTTGAAGCAATGCATCGATCCTTCGTTGACCCCAAACAGGCCCCCGAAATTATAACGCGACACTGAATTATACGTGGCGGGCAGCGAACCCTAGGTGGTGGAAGCATGGAGCTGTAAACACATTATGGAAGCAACAGCACTCTATCACGCGACGTCACATGCTTCAGCTTCAAATAGCGAGCACCGTAGACCCAACCTCGTTTGCAGGGTGTGGAGCAGGCTGCCGTACGCGTTGCCATCGACAGTTTTGCATAGCCCGGAAATACTATGCAGTGTAGAATTTCGATTGGTCAGACCGCGCAAGGCATACTAATGCTAGTCCTTTTGAGTATTCGTTGCACTCGGCGCAGGGGCAGCAAGCAAAGCACAGGAAACAATAGGGACACTTGGTGGCCACGCACCATGGAGAAAAAATATTTTGCCAAGGTCACCCCATACTACCATTTGGTGAACACTTCTGCAGAACGGCTGAGTAGAACACGTAAACGAAACCCCTACGTTGACCTCGCTGACCTCGCACAGTCTAGACTAAAGAATAGCAATTTCTGTGGTGTGATCTGAGGCAATTTCTGATCACTAAAACCAATTTGAGCAAAAGATCATCTGTGAAAGTTTTGAGTTTTGAGTAATTGAATCAGCTACATGTATTCTGAGCAATAGAATCATTATTGTAGGCAACAATATTTTTATTCGGGGAAGAAAAAGTGTGTGTGTTGGGGGGGGGGAGACCAAACAATGTCCCCCCTCAAAATGTGTGTGTGTGTGGGGGGGGGGGGGTCCCCTGTCCCCGTCGATTTACGCACATAATAATTATGTACCATGGCAACTGTCTGTAAATGTTGCCGTTGGTCTGTTAAATTGGCTTTTTGTGAGGCAGTCGCATTTGGAAAACGTAGTGAAAAGGTTGCTGTAGTACACAGGCGAAGGCTGGTTGTACAGTTTGACAATAAATCACAATGCAATAAAACGTGAAGGTGTCATTTAAAATGAAAATGTTGAGTGTTACCAAAAAATTACAAATGGTCTGAATCATGGAGGAAGGTCATAATTAAGTTTCAGTATTGGGCTCTTCAACAAACGTAAACTTGAACTTCTTACAATTTGCGAGACCGTCTGCGATTTCAACTTTTATTCAAGTTGGTTGAACCATCTATATATAAGAGCAAGTTTACTCGGCCTCCGAGAAATGTTTGCTTCTGAAAGGATCCGAGACCACGGCTTCACGTCCGTGGAAAAATGTGGGTGTCTTCCGCCGGGTCGGACACTTTTTCGTCGATTTTTTTGTGACTTCGTTTAAGAAAGCGATATTTGAAGCAATGCATCGATCCTTCGTTGACCCCAAACAGGCCCCCGAAATTATAACGCGACACTGAATTATACGTGGTGGGCAGCGAACTCACAACGCTCAGCCTTGGTGGTGGAAGCATGGAGCTGTAAACACATTATGGAAGCAACAGCACTCTATCACGCGACGTCACATGCTTGCGCTTCAAATAGCGAGCACCGTAGACCCAACCTCGTTTGCATGGTGTGGAGCAGGCTGCAGTACGCGTTGCCAGTGACGGTTTTACGCATAGCCGGGAAGTACCACGCAGTGTAGACTTTCGATTGGTTCGAAGCCCGCCTCATCAGGGAGGCTAGGCTGAAACGACAGCAACGAAAATCTCGTCAGCTAAATGCTTTCCCACGACTCCATCCAACAACCCACCCCAGATCTCCACCCCAGATCTAGTGTGTCCACATAGTGACCGCAGCTTCCTGGCTAGAATTGGACTTATTAGCCACAAGCTGATTTACCCGATCATAGATCGGGTATATAGGGCGTAGTGGTGGGGATGAAAATGTGGGCAGTTAAATGTAAATGGGGGATCATTGAGGAGACATGCAGTTATAGAAAAGCAATTTTTGTGGTGTGATCTGAGGCAATTTCTGACCACTGAAACCAATTTGAGCAAAAGATCATCTTTTAACATCATTTTAGAGCTTTGGGGTAATTGAATCAGCTACACGGTATTCAGAGCAATATGAATCATTATAGTAGGCTACAATTTTTATTCGGGGAAGAAAAAGTGGGGGGGGGGGAACAAACAATGTCCCCCGCTTTAAAATGGGGGGGGGGGGTCCCCCTGTGCCCCACCGATTTACGCACATGATAATTATGTACCCTGATAATTGTCTGTAAATGTTCCCGTTGGTCTGTTAAATGGGCATTTTGTGAGGCAGTCGCATTGCCGAGAGAACGTAGTGAAAAGGTTACCGTAGTACACAGGCGAAGGCTGATTGTACAGTTTGACACTAAATCATAATGTAATCAAACGTGAAGGTGTCATTTGCAATGAAAATGTGAGTGTTACCATAAAATTACAAAAGGTGTGAGTGATGGAGGAAGGTCATAATTAAGTTTCAGTATTGGACTTCAACAAACGTAAACTTGAACTTCTTACAATTTGCGAGACCGTCTGCGAGGAAAAAGTCGATTCAACTTTTATTCAAGTTGGTCAACCATCTATATAAGAGCAAGTTTTACTCGGCCTCCGAGAAATGTTCGCTCCTGAAAGGGTTCCGAGACCGCGGTC